CGGGGGAAAAACACGGAGAGAGCGTGAGTCGGGGGAGACAGGGGCGACGGGCAGACCCTGAGCTCTGTGCCCACCCCCACCGCTCACTGGCCCTTCACAAAGAGGAACCGGATCACCGGGTGGTTCAGCTCTGCAGGGTCCCCCCCAGCTCCCGTGGAACAGGCAGAGCTGAGACTCCCCAACCCCCCAGGCTCATCCTGCCCGGCTGGAGTGCTGGGTCCAACCCAGACCTGGTGCTGCCTCCAGAGGGGGTGAGGGGCACCTCTGGGGTCCCCTCACAGCTACAAATAACAGGCTCCTTCCCTCGCTGAAGCACAAGAGGAGACAACTCCCTCTCACAGGGAAGGGCACGAATCCTGCCCTGGCACCACTGGAGAAGCACCAATCCCCCTTCTCTCCCAGGTCTTGCTCAACCTCAGCTGCTGCAACAGGGTGCCATATCCAGCCCCCAGATCTCATCCAGGCCTCACATCCCAGCCCTGGGCACTGCCTTCCTCCCCCCCATCCTCACCCTGCCCTCCTCTCACACTCCTGCCACCTTTAGCACTCGAGGAGCCACAAACAAGTCCCCCAAATTAAAGGCCATTTCAGACCCCTCCTGGAGAGGACAGCCTGGATTTGGCTTGAGCTGGGGGAGGAGGAGGAACTAAGGAGGCTGCAAATCAGAAGAGCACCAGTTACCTTGCAAATTGGCTATAGGTGGTTTGAAAATTCCCCCTGTAGGAGAAGCCGCCGTCAATCCGGGAAGGGCAGCGACCGTTGCTGTAGGAAATGTCCACACAGCCAGCCCCTGCTGACCTGCCACTTGACCTGCAATACTGATGGGGATAAGAAGAGGTTGAGTAACTGTCCCTGCTGGAACCATTACTCCTGTCACAACTGTTGCTAAGTTTTCCTGAGTCAAGACCTGCAAAAGCAAACAAGATTTAAAAAAGAACAGAAATCAACGCCACTGCAGACAGCATCAGCGGAGCTAAGTCCCGGGGGTCCCTCCCATCTCAGCAGCTGGGTCGCCAGCTCCGCGGAGCCCCTTCTCCGTGGGGAGATGGGGGGGATCCC